CCCCCCCCCCCTCAGCTCCCCCCCCCCCCACTCATCTCTCCCCCCCGTTGCCCGGTTCAAGAAACGCGTCGCAGCTCTTCACAGCACTGATGACGGCGCTGTTTGTTGCCGACCGCTGTGCGTTTGGGGCCTTTGCTCGCCGTGTTTGAGTCTATGGGTGTGTGACTCTGTAGGTCTCTGTGAGTCTATGGGTGTGAGTGTGAATCTGTAGGTCTCTGTGAGTCTATGGGTGCGAGTCTATGGGTGTGAGTGTGAATCTGTAGGTCTCTGTGAGTCTATGGGTGTGAGTGTGAATCTGTAGGTCTCTGTGAGTCTATGGGTGTGAGTGTGAATCTGTAGGTCTCTGTGAGTCTATGGGTGTGAGTGTGAATCTCGAGGTCTCTGTGAGTCTATGGGTGTGAGTGTGAATCTCTAGGTCTCTGTGAGTCTATGGGTGTGAGAATCTGTAGGTCTCTATGAGTCTATGGGTGTGAGTCTATGGGTGTGAGTGTGAATCTGTAGGTCTCTGTGAGTCTATGGGTGTGAGTCTATGGGTGTGAGTGTGAATCTCTAGGTATCTGTGAGTCTATGGGTGTCAGTGTGAATCTGTGGGTCTCGGAGTCTATGGGTGTGAGTCTATGGGTGTGAGTCTATGGGTGCGAGTGTGAATCTCTAGGTCTCTGAGTCTATGGGTGTGAGTCTATGGGTGTGAGTCTACGAGTGTGAATCTCTAGGTCTCTGAGTCTATGGGTGTGAGTCTATGGGTGTGAGTCTATGGGTGTGAGTCTATGGGTGCGAGTGTGAATCTGTAGGTTTATCTTGGTGTTGGTGTCCAGCAGTGGTCTGCGACGCTCCTCCAGGCGGGGCTGCGATGCCGGTCGATCTCGGAACGATGACCATGTTTATACCTTTTGTCTCAGGTTTGGTAAACTACCTGATCAAATTACCCGAACCTTAAGATCTAAATTCCCCCCCCCCCCAAAGGAAAAGCCTTATAGCTGCGTTACAAAGTGTTATGTTCTGGTAATATTGATCATTTATAGAGAGAGAAGTGAATGGGTGGGGGGGGGGCTGGGTGGTCCACGGGCCAACGAAGTTTGAGACACCACCGACTCAGGGCGATAGCCGTCATTGACAGCGAGCCCCAGACAGCGAGCTGCCGACAGCGAGCTGCCGACAGCGAGCCCCAGACACCGAGCCCCAGACACCGAGCCCCAGACACCGAGCCCCAGACACCGAGCCCCAGACACCGAGCCCCAGACACCGAGCCCCAGACACCGAGCCCCAGACAGCGAGCCCCAGACACCGAGCCCCAGACACCGAGCCCCAGACACCGAGCCCCAGACAGCGAGCCCCAGACACGAGCCCCAGAAGCGAGCCCCAGACACCGAGCCCCAGACGACAGCCCGAGCCCCAGACACCGAGCCCCAGACACCGAGCCCCAGACACGAGCCCCAGACGGCCCCCAGACACCGAGCCCCAGACACCGAGCCCCAGACACCGAGCCCCAGACACCGACCCCAGACAGCGCCCCCAGACACCGAGCCCCAGGACACCGAGCCCCAGACACCGAGCCCAAGACACCGAGCCCCAGACAGCGAGCCCAGAACACGAGCCCCCAGACACGAGCCCCAGACACCGAGCCCCAGACACCGAGCCCCAGACACTGAGCCCCAGACACGAGCCCAGACACCGAGCCCCAGACAGCGAGCCCCAGACACCGATCCCCAGACAGCGAGCCCCAGACACCGAGCCCCAGACAGCGAGCCCCAGACAGCGAGCCCCAGACACCGAGCCCCAGACACCGAGCCCCAGACCACCGAGCCCAGACAGCGAGCCCCAGACAGCGAGCCCCGCCGAGCCCCAGACACCGAGCCCCAGACACCGAGCCCCAGACACCGAGCCCCAGACACCGAGCCCCAGACACCGAGCCCCAGACACCGAGCCCCAGACACCGAGCCCCAGACACCGAGCCCCAGACACCGAGCCCCAGACACCGAGCCCCAGACAGCGAGCCCCAGACACCGAGCCCCAGACACCGAGCCCCAGACACCGAGCCCCAGACACCGAGCCCCAGACACCGAGCCCCAGACACCGAGCCCCAGACACCGAGCCCCAGACACCGAGCCCCAGACACCGAGCCCCAGACTGCCGCGTCCGGGGTAGCAGAGTGGTCGGTGCATCGCCTCTGTGACGATGTCACCGCCTACTCCTCCTCCTCCTCCACATTTGGCAATCGGTCATTGGGTTCGAAGCCGCACGTCCCATGGTGCAGCTCGGGCTGGTGACCAGTCTCCGCACACTGACTGGAGAAAGAGGTTTTCTTTAAATTCTCCCGTTTCTGCATCGTCATCATCATCGTCGAGGATCACCCACCGCACCTGGCGTCATGGTTTGTGCGGTCGCGGTTCGATCCGGCACCGTGGCCCCACAACCCGCCCCAGAGGAAGATCGAAGGCAGTGTTCAGTCAGGAGCGCTCTGTCCTCGTCGCGATAACAAAATAATAAGAACCACCACAATAAGAGACCAACATTTATAACATTGTCACTCGATATATATAAACTGTTTATATAAGTAATGTGTACATAAAACGTACGTATCTTTTTTTCTTGTTTAAATTACCGGGACCTATTAAACTACTAAACTAAAGCAAAAAAAACGGTCATGTTTGCTAAGTTTAGGGGCTTGAACCCATCCGGTGTGATGATGATAATACTGCATTCGCCAGGGAATGGGAACAGATGTGTGGCAGGGCCAGAGCTGCTGCAGTGTGTGAGAACCTCGGATGGCGATTGAAGGCTGTCCGTGATCAACAACAGGGAGGCGGATGAGAACCGGCTGGATCGAGTGCTTTTGTGAAAGTGAAATGAACTCAGTTAGCCAGGCGGTGGCGGCCAAGATGCACGTGGCGTGTCATCCAGCGGTGTGGAGGCAGCATCGAGGGTTGGCGGATCACCGCGCGAATGTTGCGAGCTCCCTTCTCTCGTGGCCGTCGAGGAGGATCCAAACCGCATCTCGCCAGGAGCAAGTCGTGGAGCAAAATACGCGGACTCCCATCGGTATGGGATAGAGCGTTTCCCCCTCGCACGCAGGCGTGGGCTTTCTCCGGGTGCCTCGTTTTCCTTCCACGTGTGAGCACTCATTCATTGGCCGGTAACACCTTGATAAAACACAGAGGACCGCAGAGCTTGGGAAAGTGTTGCCGCTGGCTCACACCGCGCGGCTGCTGCTGCTGCTGCCGCCTCTTCCTGCTCATCGGTGCTTTGCTCCTCGCACCTCGAGCCGCGCCCTCTCTGCGAGAGCGAGCGAGCGCCGTGCGGTGGCAGCGTAGTACGGCACGCTGACATCGTCGGTGCAAGCGATGTCCTGGCAAGAGGAGAGTTCAGCCGGTGCGTACTGCTCCTGCCGTGGGAATATGGATCGTCAATACGGACGTCGACGTAAAACACCCGATAAGTGCGCTGAGAAGTGTGGAGAGAGAGAGGCACGCCTGGAATTCCGCCGCGAGACAACGATCGTGACGTGTGGATTTGCGAGCGTATGCAGGTTAGATACAGCATCATCATCATAGTGACTCTGAAGAGAAGTGAGCGCGGGGCTTGGGCAGCACGCGTCGCGACGCCAGAAGGGACCACGGTGGCCGGTGGTCGAGACTAATGACGGAGTGGAAGACCAAGGTGGGAACGTGTCCCGAGGGTACGTCCACCACGGAGGCGGAGCGATCGAATCGGCTCGTGCGGTGTGCAGGTGCTGGGTGGATCGCCACGTCACAGGACCAGCGAGAGATGACGACGACGGGGGGGGGGGGGTGTTCGGGAGGCCTTCATCCAGCAGTGGAGTGATCATAGCTGCTGATGAAGAGAACTGCTCATGAACACGAGCAGCTGTCGCCAGTCAAAGGCCGATTCAGCACAGGGCGAGGTTTGTCTTGACATTACAACCACACACACACAGTGGTGAAGGAGCCACACTTCTCTACTCCGGTTCTTTGAGGCCCTCCGCGCTTGCAGCTTTCTGGTGATTCACAACCATCAGGTGCGTGCTGTGTGTGCAGCGGCTTATTTTGCATATCCGTAAGCCAAGCATGGGTACTCGCGAACGAGCGGACTGGTGGAGGAGGGGGGGGACAGAGCGGCACGGACCGGAGCGTCGCAGTGCTGAGGCGCTGTCGGGGGTGCAGCACGGGGGGGGGGGCGCGGGGGGGGGGGCGTTTTCGTCGTTCACAGAATAATGGAGTGTGGCGGCGGCAGCGACGAGTTGTGACCCCGCGAAAGTCACTCGCAGGCGAAGGCTGAAACTTCCCGACAGTTTTCCAGGTCGCTGGTCAACTGCAGCAGGCGGCACGTGAGCCAGAAGCAGCAGCTCCAGCCCGTCGCGCGCGAGTGCCATTACTGGATGTGGCGTGCCGGGCGCGGGAACATTTCTCCCGGTCGACTTGCAGAGCGGCGCCGTGAGCTCCGTCCTCTGGGCCGCGTGTCGCCCCACGGCCTCCTCATTGGGGGCCATCGTCTGACTCAGCGAGCCTCGGCCCTGCCCGCAGAGGCCTCGTCAACCTGTGGATTCCAACGCCGAGCTGGAGCCATGGGGGGGGGGGGGGGGGTCCGGTCCCCATGACAACATCATCACCGTCATTCCCTCATCATGCTGCACCGCCCTCGCAGTACATCTCCCCACCCCTTGCCCAGGGTGCCCCCCCCTCTTGCCCCCCCTCGCCCGCCTTGAACGTTCTCCGCCGCTGGGCTGAGTTCAGTGCTGCCGAGCGGGGAGCGCTGGGTGCCGTGGTGGTGCTGGGGGGCCCCGCCCCCCACTCGTGTTGTCTGCACGCGTCATTCGCACGCACGGGGGTTGGAGGCGCAGTCGGTGATGGAGCCGTTCCAGTCGCTGCCCGAGCGGCGTCGCTCGGCGCGCTCCTTCCTCTGCTGGCGCACGCACAAAGACAAAGGTCACCCGTGTAGCCTACACAGGCTCTTGGGGCAAGTGCTGTTGAGAGAGCGCCTACGATACAACACCAGCTAGCACCACACCCAGCCAGCTTTGTCTCACCAGTGCCGCTGTTTATACGCTGCAGCTCGTACTCATTTAAGGCTGTGACCGATGTTGGCCGTGAGAGGGAATCAAACTCGGGTCGCCGGGCTCGTAGCGGCGTGCGCTAACCACTGCGCCACCGCTCCCCGCGGTAGGCACTCGCAAACATGCGTACGCGAGCGAATACAGACACACAAACGGTGACACAGCACGGCGACAGCCCACCGGCATCCGCCCTGAAGCGACAACGACATCACCGCAGTGTGCGCGCCAGGCTGGGTGAACCGCGGGGCCACGGTGACTTGAGGCGCACGGTGTTCGGCGCTCTCACCGCGGCGGCGACGACGGCGCCGGCGCCGGGGTTGTGTCCCGCAGGGGCAGCTGCCGGGGCCTGCCGCTGTGCCACCATCACGGGCAGCGGCTCCACCAGGTCGGATCGCGAGCTGGGGGGTGGAAAGAGGGCACAGGTGGGGGGGTCATGGGGAGTGCGGCCTTATCGACTCGAACAAACACGGGAGCGGGATTTGTAGAGAGAGAGCGAGCGAGGGATGAGGAGGGAGGTAGGGAGCGATGGAGAGATGCGGGGAATTCGGAGGGGGATGGATGGGGGGAGGGGCTGTAGGGGATGGAAGCGCGAGGTGACACGCCGCCGCGTTGCCACGGTATCCGCTCGCTCACGTAGAGCCGCCACCGCGCAGCGTTCGCTCTCGTGCAGAGAGAGAGAGAGAGGACGACTCCGAGGCACGAGGAGGAACCACAGACGAGCGGGAGGGCAGCCACGTGATGAGCCGGAGCTACCAACGATCGCCCAAGCTCTGCGGGCCCCTGCGTATTAAGGTGTTATTGGCCAATTCCTAAGTGCTTTCATGAGAGAGTAAAGTGGAGCACTCGGAAATAAAACAAACGCGTGCGTCCGTGAGAGGGGGCAACGCTCCATCCCGTACAGACGGAACAGGTGGAGTCCACATCTTTTGCTGTCCTGCCTTCTGGCCATCCGGGGTACGGCTACTCCTCGACGCCCACCCACGGCAAGGGAGGAAGTTTCGCAACGCTTGCGCGGTAATCCGCCAACCCTCGCCACCCCAACACGGCGCTGGGTTACAGGCAGCCACGAGCAGCGTCGCCGCTACCGACGCCACGCGGCCGTCGGGCAGAGGGAGAGATAAACGCGGTGTGGGGGGGTGCGGTGGCGGCGCTGGTAATGACGGCGGCGCCTGGCGGGCGGGGGGGGCGACGCGCGTACTTGTGGAGTTCGGCCAGCACGGAGCGCTCGCCCTCGGAGGCGTGTGAGCGCCGGTGGTTGACGCGGGAGTTGTGCGGCGACTGCGAGTGGCGAATCTTCACGGGGTCTCCGCGCGTCCTGCGGGGGGGGGGGGGGGGGGTGGTTACGGCGAGCGGGAGACGGACGACAGATTCGGCGATAACACCCGGCCAGGCCGAGCGTGGTCCGCCCCTAGGTAGACTCAGCACTAAAACGTGGGTGGACCTATGGCCGTAGACCAGATCCGACGCACGAGGTGGACACGAACAGTCCCAAGAGGCGAAGAGGAGATATTTAGACATTTCGTGATTCTTTATTGATTTGTGGGTTTGGCAATGCACGTAATGAGCTGGCCAAATTTGTGCCATCAAGACCCTCCACCACCCGACGCAGCCAAACAATTTGAATGATCCCACAGTGTACGATTGTTTATTGATGCGCCGAGTGTGAGTGTTTCATCTCAACTCACCGACCCACTCACCAGAGGTGATGATAGTGATGATGATGATGGAGTTGATGATGATGAAGATGGTGCTGGTGCCATTGATGATGATGAGGATGGTGATGTTGATGATGATGACGATGGTGGTCATGATGATCGTGGTGATGATCGTGGTGATGATCATGATGATGACAATGGTGGTGATGATCAGGATGATGGCGATCGTAGGTACACACTCCACTTTGGTGTAGGGGATGTCCTTCAGCTGATCCTCCGTGTAGCCGATGGGGTCCACCAGCTCCCTCCTGCCAATCACACAGCAGGGCCAGCCTCAACACTCACCCAGCGTAACAGCTCAGGGCTAACCCAGTGGGGTTGGTGAGTGGTGTGGTTGGTGAGCGGTGTGGTTGGTGACTGGTGTGGTTGGTGACTGGTGGGGTTGGTGAGTGGCTCACTCGATGTGCTTCCACAGCTCTTCCCGGGCCTGCTTGTCTGGGCTGCGCCTGCGAGAGAGAGAGAGAGACACGCGTGGACAGCGAGAGAGTGAGAGAGAGAGACACGTGGACAGCGAGAGAGAGAGAGAGTGAGAGAGATGCACGCGTGGACAGCGAGAGAGTGAGAGAGAGACACGTGGACAGCGAGAGAGTGAGAGAGAGAGAGACACGTGGACAGCGAGAGAGAGAGAGAGATGCACGCGTGGACAGCGAGAGAGTGAGAGAGAGACACGTGGACAGCGAGAGAGTGAGAGAGAGACACGTGGACAGCGAGAGAGTGAGAGAGAGAGAGACACGTGGACAGCGAGAGAGAGAGAGAGATGCACGCGTGGACAGCGAGAGAGAGAGAGAGAGACACGTGGACAGCGAGAGAGAGTGAGAGAGAGACACGTGGACAGCGAGAGAGAGTGAGAGAGAGATGCACGCGTGGACAGCGAGAGAGTGAGAGAGAGAAACACGTGGACAGCGAGAGAGAGAGAGACACGCACATGAACAGCATCGTAAGCTCCGTGCGATGGGCGCCTGTGTGTGTGTGAGTGTGTGTGTGTGCCTGTGTGTGTGTGTGTGCCTGTGTGTGAGTGTGTGTGTGAGTGTGTGAGTGTGTGTGTGAGTGTGTGTGCGTGTGAGTGTGCGTGTGTGTGTGTGTGCGTGTGTGCCAGTAATTATTACCTGAACCGGTCCTGGGCCTCCCCTAGGTCGTATCAGCTTCAAATGAGCGCCTGGTCTGATGTGTAAAAACATCACCACTAGGGGGACAAAGGCGGCCGAGCGTGGTGCTGGCCGCCACCCACCCCTCCATGTGCCGTGCCGGCCTTCTTCACAGGTGCTCCCTAACAGCACTTGCCCCAGAGGTCGCAACCGGGTACCCGATACCCGTACTCTACCCGATACCCGGCTACCCGTACCCGGCCGGGTACGGGTACGGGTACCCGTTTGCTACCCTGGTGCGGCCGGGTACGGGTAGGCCGTGAGTCACCGTTTGTCACTCATTTCCCAACGTCTTGTCTCTTCTCACAATTCAAATTCCTATAATCAACCCACCCGCGCCTGCAACATGGCTTCATCCCAGAGGTCGCAATCAGGTACCCGATACCCGTACCCTACCCATACCCGGCCAGGTACGGGTAGGGTACGGGTACGGCCGGGTACGGGTACGGGTAAGGAATCAAAACCCGTTTGCGACCTCTGACTTGCCCCCACAGTCTGTTATAGCTATACGGGGGATCATTGTCTTTGCGTGCGTGCGCGTCTGTGCGCGTTTGTGCGCACGTGTGCGTATCTGTGTGCGTGTTTGCGTGCGTGTGTGTGCGTGTGTGTGCGCGTGTGTGCGTGCGTGTTTGCGTGCGTGTGTGTGCGTGTGCGTACGATCGTGAGCAGTGGCGGGAGCGCCGGTGTGTGTGTGTGTGCGTGTGTGTGCGTGTGTGTGCGTGTGCGTGTGTGTGCGTGTGTGCGTACGATCGTGAGCGGTGGCGGGAGCGCCGGTGTGCGGGGTCGTTCTGGCTGCGCTCGTGCTGGCGCCGCAGCACCTCCTCCCACTGCGGCGCCGAGTCCACCAGCTCGTTCTCCTGCCGCGACCTGCACGGAGAGACACGCGCAGACACGGAGACACAGACACACGGAGACACAGACACATGGAGACGTGAGATACGGAGACACAGACACACGGAGATACAGACACACGGAGACACAGACACATGGAGACGTGAGATACGGAGACACAGAGATACAGAGACACGGAGACACAGACACATGGAGACACAGACACGCGCAGACACGGAGACACACGTGAGATACAAAGACACAGAGGAGAGACGGAGGAGGCACATAAGACATGGACACGCAGGACATGGAGATCATCGTGGTGATGGCGGCGATGGTGGCGATGGTGGTGATGATGACGGAGATGAGGATGGGGTGGACCCTGTTACCGGCCGCGGTGTCTCCGATCTTTCCCCGAGGCCTCCGACTCGTTGCCGCTGCCGTTGGACGGCGCCCCCCCACGCGAGTGGGACCTGGCGACGGGCCGGCCAACACAGCGGGGACCGAGGTACGCGTGGAGACACACACGCACACACGCGCGCACACACATGCGCGCACACACATGCGCGCACACACACACGCGCACACACGCGCACACACGCGCGCACACGCATGCAAACATGCACACACACACGCAGCGGGGAGCCACAATGTGAGCGCAGCATGGTAACGCGATCACGGCGATGTCAGTCAGCGCCAAATGAGAAATAAAATAGCAAATCGATAAAAGTGCACGACCTTCGCTTGCGGTGGCGCGACGGCTCCGAGTCGTCGCCGCTGCTCTGCGCGCCTGTGCGCCTGCGCCCGAGACACACGGCGGCACCACCCCAGTCACTCGCTCGTCCGGTCACTCATCTACTCGCCCGGTCACTCGCTCGCCTGGTCACTCGCTCGCCCGGTCACTCATCCACTCGCCTGCTCACTCGCTCGCCCGGTCACTCGCTCGCCCGGTCACTCATCCACTCACCCGCTCACTCGCTCGCCCGGTCACTCGCTCGCCCGGTCGCCTGTTTGCTCGTCTGCCCGTCCAGTCGCTCATCCGCTAGCTCGTTCATTCGTTTATTGATTTCGCTCACCGGCTCGTTCATTCATTCACTCATCGTTCACCCATCATCCGTCTGCCCACGGACGGACGAGGCGGGGGGCGTGTGCGGGGCCCTCACCTCCTGCGGCCCCTGCGGCCCGGCTCCCCGTCGCTCCCCGACGGGTTCCGCCGCCTCTGGTGCGGGAACTTGGGCGACTGGTTCCGCTCGGCCTGGGCGGTGAACAGGCCGCTACGCGCACACACACGCGCACACACACGCGCACACACACACGCACACACACGCGCACACACACACGCACACAGAGCAGCAATGTCGCCCCCTTCTTGCAAAAACTTGGCAGGACCCTGCTGAAAAAGAGTCTCGAGACTCGGTGAGGCTTTCCTGAGGCAGGGGACGGGGGATGGGGGGGGGCGGCACCTCTTGGTGCTGCCATCTTCCCAGGGTGCACTGGGGCGGTTCCTATGAACGTCGGGGCTGCCGTCCACTTTGGGCATCTGGGAGCTGCGGGGAGAGATGCACATGACGCCACGCCAGCTCACGCCACCACCACGACCAGAGCACCGTCATCACCACACCACCTCGCCACACCATCATGCCATGCTACACCAACACAATAACGACATGCCACCACGCCACGCCACACCGCCACTGCCACGCCACACCAACACAATAACGACATGCCACCACGCGACACCATCACACGACGCCACACTTGAAGCGCCCATTATCCCGCTGCCACCTCTCCCCCAGGTGCTGCAGCGGCTGCGTGACGAAGCAAACCTGCGGATTGGCGCCGGCGCCTGGATCTTGGTCGTTCCGTTCCGGCTCGTGTCCTCCACGCGCTGCGACATCTGCTGAGGCGGGCTCTTGACGTCTAGAGACGCCGCCACGCAGACAGACCGACGTGCACAGAGGCGGAGATGCGGCGACACGGGCAGGCAGACGGGAACGGACAGACACGCAGACGCACCGGCACGTACACCGGCGGACACGCGCGTTGGATCCATGCTGACCGCAGCCGCTCTGGACACCCGACACAACTGGCATGCGGTGATGGTGTAGTGTAGGGTGGTGATGGTGCAGTGTAGGGCGGTGATGGTGCAGTGTAGGGCGGTGATGGTGCAGTGTAGGGCGGTGATGGTGCAGTGTAGGGCGGTGATGGTGCAGTGTAGGGCGGTGATGGTGCAGTGTAGGGCGGTGATGGTGCAGTGTAGGGCGGTGATGGTGCAGTGTAGGGCGGTGATGGTGCAGTGTAGGGCAGTGATGGTGCAGTGTAGGGCAGTGATGGTGCAGTGTAGGGCGGTGATGGTGACGGTGCGGTGACGGTGCAGTCCCGTGCAGTGATGGTGCTATGTTGAGAGGCAATGGTGTGGTACGGTGTTGGTGCGGTGATTAGTGCGGTGACGATACAGTTACGGTGCGGTGATGGTGTGGTGACGGTGTGGTGCAACACGTGTGCATTACCTTGCTGCGCCGCGGGGAGCCGCTTGGGGTAAGTTTTGCTGCGCGTGCGCCGCACCACCTGGTTGGGCCGGGGCAGGCGGCTGGCCAGCTCCCGGTCCACCTGCAGCACCGTCCTGCCACTGGGGCCGCGCCGGGAGAGATGGGGGGGGGGGGGCACAGAGGGGGGGGAGCAGCATTTCAACCAGGAGCGTTAAACGACAACGGCGAGAAACCGGTAACCATTTGCGTAAAAAACGGTTACCGGTTTGATCAAGTCGGGAAACCCAGAAACCGATTCCAGTGGAACGCGAGCGACGAACGCACGGATCGGCACGGACGTGCAAACACACGGCGGCAGGTCTAAGTACAAATGCCCTCGAGTGTCGGGTAATAGGTAAAGGTGCAGCCCTGCAGTCGCGTCGCTCGCTCGTGCCACTGCTAGCGAAAGAGCCTCCTACACCGGCGGGGGCTCTAAGTGTGGTATTTGGTCTACTCTTCCACGCTGACCAGCCGTCTTGGAAGAAGGGGGCGTTACCCACACTTTACGCGACCACAATAGGGGGCGGGAGGCACGGGGAGGTGTGTGTACGTTGAACTTCTTTCGCACCGTACTTAGAAAATCGTGCTTAATACATAAAGCAGTTCTAAAGAAATAAATGTACACGTGTAGGTGGTGGTGGTGGTGGTGTACACGTGTAGTGTGGTGGTGTACACGTGTAGGTGGTGGTGGTGGTGTACACGTGTAGGTGGTGGTGGTGGTGGCGGTGTTGGTGCTGCACCTGTAGTGGTGCCGGGAGCCCAGCGAGCCCATCTTGCCGAGGCGCCGGGCGAGCCTCTCCTCAGGGCCCCGCGCTTCCGGCAGCCTGAGCACGGCCAGGACACGGGGGTCACCGCGGGGTCACCACGGGGTCATGGTGGAGTTAGCACAGGTGTCAACGCGGGGTCACCACGGGGTCATGGTGGAGTTAGCACAGGGGTCAACGCGGGGTCACCACGGGGTCATGGTGGAGTTAGCACAGGGGTCAACGCGGGGTCACCACGGGGTCGTGGTGGAGTTAGCATGGGTCACCATGGGGTCGCGACGGTGTCAGCTTGGGGTTAACAAGGGGTCGACGACACCCACCAACCGCGGGCGATCGTAACAGCAACACACGAATGCTCGCGTTCTTCAGATTCTCTCTCTCGGCGGTCAGCGGTTCGGTTTGCCCCGGGGTAAGAAAAATGGACACCAGGGGTACGCGTGGCCCCAGCGGGGGGTGCGGCGGGGGAAGCCGGGGGGGCGGGGCGGGGGGCACCTGAAGAAGGTGTGGAACTCGACGCAGCACTTCCACAGGTGCTTGCACGCCGTCTTGGTGGCTGACTCGAAGAAGTAGGAGGTCTCGCTGTCCTGCGGACGGCACGGGGACCACGCGACGCGGTCACATGGGGGAGCCCGGTGGCTTCTGTCGCGCTTCCCGAACGCCGCTCCTCCTTCTGGGAAGCCGACGACCGTGGTCGCGCGCACACAAAGGCAAAGGTCCCCCGCGTAGCCCTATAGCGGTGATGCTTACACATCACATCAGGTACTCAAGGCTGAGCAGACCTAGGGGAGGCCCAGGTCCGGTTCACATATTCGTCACCGGTGTTGGCCGTGAGCGGTAATCGAACTCGGGCCGCCGGGTTCGTAGCGCGGAGCGCTAACCGCCGAGCTGCAGCTCCCCCAGTGCTGTTGGTGAGCACACGCAGAGTGCAGCGGAGGGAGAGGTGAAAGGTGAAAGGTCGGAGGTTACTCACATCCTTGCCCCTCACGCGCAGCTCAAACTGGGTCCCTTTAAAGTTGACCCTCGTGATCCGGGGCCTGCGGCAGGGGGCGGCGGGGGGGGGGGGGGTGAGAAGGGGGTCACGATCCGGTCGGAATCCACCCTCGTGCCATTTGGTCGTGGGGGGGGGGGGGGGGGGGCGGCAGTGCGACCACGTCTCAGCAGATAAAGCCGGAGGCAGGGGGGTGAGTGGTGGGGGGTGCATGGTGGGGGGTGAGTGGTGGGGGGTGAGTGGTGGGGGGTGAGTGGTGAGGGGTGAGTGTTTGGTGGTGCTGACTCACCAGAAGTAGTGTGCCACCTGTGCCTTGCCCAGGTACACCGATATGCCTGTCGGGGACAGCCCCAGCATGTACTCCCTCTGGTGCTCACCCTGGGGGGGGGGGGGGGGCACAGGCGGCAGGGAACAGCTGACGACGCCGCCCCAGCGCTAGCCACGGTGGCCGCTCGTTGCAGAGGTTCGCGGCTCGAATCCGGCAGGCCGCCCCGGTTAACACCGCGGCGGTGTGTGTCACCCCGGTTAACACAGCGGCGGTGTGTGTCACCCCGGTTAACACCGCGGCGGTGTGTGTCACCCCGGTTAACACAGCGGCGGTGTGTGTCACCCCGGTTACCACTGCGGCGGTGTGTGTCACCCGCCTGCTTCCCCCGCAGTGGATGTTGGAGATCCCGTGATGTCGTTCACAAGAGCAGGCCGTTGTGTGCCGGTGTCACGGTCCAAATTAGCCAGATTTGAAAAGGACACCGCAAATGACTCACTTGAGATCAAACACCCAGCAGCAGCAGCAGCAATCATTGCCTCTTCCTGGCAACTGACGAATGCCAACTCAAAGGCCACCAGGCGCTGAGTCACACAGTGCAGTGCAGGGACAGCTGCCACTGGGGGTGCTCCTTTCATAATGAGATGAGATGCAGGTCGCTGATCCCAGGTGATCCCAGGTGAGTGAGCCCAGGTGAGCGAGGCGAGGCTGGCGCTCACCGTGACGTGGTGCAGGTCCACCCCGTACATGTCGAGCGCCCGGGCGCGACGCAGGAACTGGAGCTCGGCCTCCGCAGGAACGAGGCCGCTGTGGAGGGGAGAGGGGGGAGAGGAGAGAACGATGAGAGGGAAGAGGGGAGGAGTGGAGAGGTGAGAGGGACGAGGTGAGAGCAGAGAAGGGGGATGAGAGAGAGAGGAGAGAGAACATAGAAGATGGAGGAGCAGAGTGTGAGGTGAGGGAGGAGAGGGAGGTGAGACAGAGGAGTGGGAATAGGGGAGAGGCAACATGGAAGAGGTGGCAGAGGAGGCGAGAACGATGAGAGGGAAGAGGGCAGGGAGAGCGATAAAGAGGAGAGAGCCAGCAGAGGGAGGAGAGTGGCTTCTGGTGTTGGCGCTTCGGGACTCGTTGGATACGCGAGTGGGGAGCGATCTCAAGTCACGACAATGATGACGACGATGATGATGACGATGATGATGACGATGACGATGATGATGATGATGATGACGATGATGATGATGATGACGATGCTGCGATGATCACCGTGCCGGCTCGGCGGCAGCAACAGAGGGAGCGGTGAGTGCGGCGACACTCACGTGAGGGTGCCGTGCAGGGCCTCGGCCCGCTCCTCCACCTCCGCCGTCTGCCCTGGCACGAAGCGGAAAGCCGACACGTAGCCCGGCGCGGCCTTCGCCGCGTCGTAATCGCCCAGCTCGGCTGCACAACCGTGACGACGACAGCGACAGCAGCAGCACGAATTGGAACGTAGGCAGCAATAACCGCGATTCGGTATCGGTGGTATTGGCGCGATCAGTGCTTCTGGCGCGTGTTTCACAGACGCAGCGTGAAGTGGTTTCACGGCAGCGGGAGTTGCTGTCGCTGCGTGTCCAGGCCTAGAGGCACCGCCAGTGGCAGCTAAACTTGTGTCGCACGAGGCCATCACCACAAAGGCACCGCTGTGTTTCACAGACAGACCGCAGTCGTTTTGCGGCAGGGAGTGATGTTGCCGCGTTTAATCCCAATTGAGAAATTCATCTGCGGTGTTATTACTCAAGTTTGGCAAGTTTTGACCGAAACGTTGCCACACGCTGGTCTACTCTTGTGCACGACATCACGGGGATCTTGAACGCACACTCTGAGCGAAGCAGCAGGCGCGTAGTAGAAGTATTTTACGCTTAATATGCACCACCGCAGGTGTTAACCAGGGCGACCCGCCGGATTCGCACCGCGAACCACTGCAACGAGCTTAAAAGCCCTCCTGCTAGGCCCCGTCAACGCCCCAAAGCGTGTAAATGTAACCGCATCTCAAAGACTTGGCAGAGAAAAACCCATCCGTGCCCTGCAGCGCTGCGGACGCGCTGCAGTCGCACGGGGACAGCTGCCGCTCGGCTCCCCCTCGCCCAAGACTGCCGAAGGGCGCGGCGATGGTCCGGGTGAGATGCGGCATAAAGGACGCATCGAGTTGTCGGGGCATTTAAGCAACGCCATATACATTCCAGTCATATTTGTTGATCTAATCATTCCTCTGATGCGAAGCAGCTTTACTATAGGCATTGTGTGCAGTAGAGGGCGGTGTAGCAAAACCAATCGTTCTGTACTACCCTGGCACCTTGACCACGACTGCAATAGTCAGCGTGGTGAAGTATGGTTCAATCCAGCAGTGAACTTAAAGCATGTAGAGTATGTTGAACTTCTTTCGCACCGTACGTAGCCAACCGCGCTGATCGGAGGTGCGGGGGGAAGGACAACAAACTAACACACTAAAGGCAGTCCTAACGGACTTAGTTCTCAAAAATCTACATTGCAGTAACAATGCAGTCGGGTTTATCGTTGCCAACGTCCGTTCAAACGATGGGCGGGCCACCGGGACACAGACACGAGGCACCGGGACACAGACACGAGCTACGGGACACAGACACGAGCCACCGGGACACAGACACGAGCCACCAGGACACAGACACGAGTCACCGGGACACAGACACGAGCCACGGGACACAGACACGAGCCACGGGACACAGACACGAGCCACGGGACACAGACACGAGCCACCGGGACACAGACACGAGCCACGGGACACAGACACGAGCCACCGGGACACAGACACGAGCCACGGGACACAGACACGAGCCACGGGGACACAGACACGAGCCACGGGACACAGACACGAGCCACGGGACACAGACACGAGCCACCGGGACACAGACACGAGCCGGCCACGGGGGCACCACCGTACCCTGCAGGGCGAATGACGCCAGCAGCGCCGCCTCCTCGTGCGTCACCGGCAGCCGCCCCTGCAGCACGTCCTGCTTCACCTGCAGGAACAACTGGTACCTGCGGCACACCACGCACCCCCCCCGCCCAGCAACAACCTCGGCTCAGCACGGCACACGGCCCATTATCATCGACACTCTCGCGACGACCCACAGCGCCGTGCTAAGGCGGCACACACACAACACACCGGCCGGAATGCCTGGTGGTGGTGGTCTCAATTCTGGTGTGGGGGGGGGGGGGGCGGGATTATCACACCCCCCCCCCCGTCCCCCCGGGTCTGCCACTGCCTTCGACATATGCAGGTTATTATTTATTGTTAAATATGTTGCTTATTTACCCAGGAAAGCCTCACCGAGTCTCAAGACTCTTTTTCAGGAGGGTCCTGCCATGGATTTATTTCAGCAGGAGGGTGCGATCCCAACGGAGCGACCTGTAGGTAATTATTCAACATTGTCGACGTTTTGGCCCAATTCACGGTTCCACTGCGAACGTGTGGTTTGGAGATATTTTTAGGATAAAGCGGCGTGCAAACCGCCCCGGGCGCTGCCACGCCGGGGTCCTTCTCGCCGAGGCGCGAGGAGCGTCACCGCCGCGGGGGGCGTCACCGCCGCGGGGGGCCACTGGACGTCACCGCCGTGGGGGGCCACTGGGCGAGAGCGCCGGGCGCTCGTCTGCGAGGGTGATGGCCGTCGCACCTCGTGATCTCCTCCTTGAGCTGGCAGGGGTCCCGCGCGTAGAACTTCACCCCAAAGTACAGCGTGAACGGCGGTCCCGCTGCGCAAGGTCACACGCAGGCAGGCGGTCACCGTCACGCTCACGCTCGCTCACACACACACACACTCACACACACTCACACACACTCACACACACTCACACACGCACTCACACACACACACTCACACACGCACTCACACGCACTCACACTCACTCACACACACGCACACACACTCACACACACTCACTCACATTCACTCACACACACTCGCACACACACGCACACACACTCACTCACACACACACACTCACACACACACACGCTCAAAATACAAAAGTCCCCCGTGTAGTTCAAACATACTTTTGGGATAAATGCTGTTAGCGAGCACCTATGAAGGCCGGAACAGCACACGAGGGGGCAGGTGGCCAACACCACAGCCGGCTACCATTGTCTCCCCAGTGGCGATGTTTACTACACACTGCACCAGGTACTCATTTGAGGCCGAGTCGACCTCGGGGAGGCACAGGACCGGTTCAGATAATCGCTCTGGTGTTGGCCGTGAGCAGGAATCGAACCCGGATCTCCGGGTTCATAGCGCAGCGTAGCGCTAACCGCTACACCACCGCTCCCCACAGTCACACACACGCAGCAACACAACACACACAGCCCCGCACACTCACTTTCCATGAGGTCTCGATGGTCTCCCAGGCTGCGGTCAGGCTCCAGCCAGTGCTGTCACACAACGGAAGATGGAGAGGGGGGCGCGGGGCACAGAGTTAGCAGGGTCAGAGTGAGGAGCGGTCGCAGCCGTCACCCACGTGATCACCCGCACGCACGCCTTCACCGCTCGCCAGCCGGCGGCGAGTCCACCAAACAAATATCGCGCTGGTGCCGCTGTGCTCTTCACAGCGGAACATGGACAGCCACACGGAGGGTCAGCCACACCGAGGGTCGGCCACACCGAGGGTCAGCCACACTGCGTGCCTGCCATGCAAAGGTCCGGCCCAACTGGATTCGAACCGCACAGATGGCCGACCGCACAGTGGTCTGACCAAATCGGACTTGGGCCACAGCAAATGAGCCGGCCACGCAGGGGGGCCGGCCACACCGCGGTGAGGCCCGATCGCTGCAGTTGTCCCACACAGAACTGGAATGGAGAGTATAGACTACGACATGAGCCCGAGTCTGTCCCTCTCCACATGACGGATCCAAAATCCGGACGTGCGATGGGGAATCCACAGCACGGAGGTTGACGCACACTTATTACTATCGCATCATCGGTCATGGTCACTCCACTGCTGGATGAAGGCCTCCGCCAAGACGCCACCATCTCTCATGCACGAGTCTCCATTGCTGCTTCAACAGAGTCACCTCCTTGCCTGACCCAACATGGTTCTGAGAAATAAATGCGTGAATAATGAACGTCGATATTTTAACCAATTGTCCATGTTGTGAGAGGTATCGTACTAACTAGCGAAGTAACTGCAAGTGAATAAAACAAATCAACGGACGCTCTGCAAGCGTAACGTAATTTGTTCGCGCTCGCCAGTTACGCTCATTTAGAAAGGCCTTTTACATCGTTAAAGGTTGCCATAGAGATTTAAATGTTATCGTAGTTAGTTTATATTGGCAGATTCATACATGATTAGTCACCCAATGACTCTCATGTTCCGCATGACATCATTTCACGCGTTTATAGATCACCTCACGTGCCCCCCGGGGTCCACGTGGCCCAGGCTTGAGAACCACTGACCTAGCCCCTGCACACGCACTGATGTCATCGCGCCGCGGCCGGCAACGACGATGATTGAGGCTGGCGTGTCGCTACATCGGTCAGTCCGCGATCACTGTAATCACCGTAATCGGCACTCGCGCCCGGGGTAATCTCCCGCAGCCACAGCGGTAAAGACAGCAGCTGCCCGCCGGCGAGTATGGGCCTGCACCCGGCCGGATAATAACCGCACGGCGCCGGTGGTGGTGGTAGAAGTGGTGGTGGTAGAAGTGGTGGTGGTTGCGGTGGTAGTGGTGGTGGCGGTGGATGTGGTGGTAGTGGTGGTAGTGGCGGTGGTTGTGGTGGGAGTGGTGGTGGTAGTGGTGGTAGTGGTGGTGGCGGTGGTGGGGGTGGCCGTGGTGGTGGTGGTTGCGGTGGTTGTGGTGGGAGTGGTGGTGGTAGTGGCGGTGGTAGTGGTGGCTGCAGTGGTGGCTGTAGCGACGAGGGAAGTGTTTAATTTGGGTCAACAGGCACCTGCCTCGGATTGCACAATCCCTGTTTAGTTTAGGGGCTTCATTTGTTTGAAGAACTAACATTTTTTTGCGTTTGAGAAGAATGGGCCTTGCCGAGGCTTTGCTAAAAGGTCACCCCGCACGTCAGGGGACGGCTGTTTGTGTGTTTATGCGCGGCCCACAGAGGCGGCAGTTACCGGTGCTGAATACAACCGGTGCTGAGGATGCTGGACACTTGATAGCCAACTTTCGGGTTCAACTAGAACGTGGCATGAAAGCTCCTGTCGATGTAATCCGGAATAGGAGATTCTTAAGGGTGGGACACATGTGCAGGGTGGAGGAGGATAAGTTAAGCAACTTGGTGAATAGGAGGGGAAGGTGTGCAGGGGGAAGTCGGAGGTCAGGTGACCGAGGCCGGCATTGGAGTGGCACCCAGAGGGCAGCGACCACGGGGAAGTGAAGGCTGAAAGCACCACGGCGGTGGTGGTGGTGGTCATAAGAATGAGACCGGTCTTCTCTCGCCTCTCACCCTCATGAGGGTTCCCAGTTCACGTCGAAGGTTACTGGGCCCACGTTGGGCTGACGCTTCCAGCCAACATCGGCCCAACGTCGGCCTGGTGTTCACTGGGCTGCGTATAAATTGGAAGAAGTTGGGGGGGGGGTGGGGGGCTCAATTTATTGTTTGCTTACGGTGCCCCCCAAAAGTGGGCAAGCAAGCAAACGACAGCGCTGCCACTCCGACTCAGCGAGGCGCGTGTCGATGTGGAGAAACCCCAGCGCACAACACGGTCAGGGTTATGGTTGTTGCCCTGTCATCACGTCGAGGGCCAGCGGGGGGTGGGGCACTGCCATCCATCACTCACGTGATGGCACAAGGCAAGCAGAGAGAGAGATCTAAAATTAGAAGATTAGAACTCACGCCGGGTGGCGGAGGGAGGGAGGGAGGGCGCAGCCGCAGTGCAAGACACGGAGATCTCGTGAAGCCGCGACCCAACCCCAGTCGCTCGCGGCGAGAGGCAGGATTAGGTGAGCGGACACGGGTGAGCAGTAGGCACGGGGGGTGGGGTGGTGAGCGGATACGGGGAGAGACAAACTCCCGGCCACACACAATGGGTGACCCCGCAGTGCCTGACCCTCGTGGTGCCGCACCTGTGCGATGACATCACCGGATTTTCCACCCCCAAGCATTGAAACCTGGCCAGGGCCCTCCCCTCGTCACGACAATGGCGGCGGCGTTGGCGATGGTGGCGCGGGGTGGGGTGGCTCACAGTCGCTCACGAGCAGGGCTCGGGCCGCGAGGTGGCGGCACGGCCGACGGGGTGCCCAGCCCGCTGTGCCGCGTGGCCGTGGACTTATTGTCCCTTTGTGCGCGACGGCTTCCTGACACGCATACTTGAAGTTCACGGTGGCTTTTCTGGGGACTAAATTGTCACCTGGGTAAGAGATTAAGCCGGCTGTGAATCATCACCACCGCCGCCGCCACCACCATCGTCGTTGTCATCATCGTCATCATCGCCACCACCATCATCATCTACAGCTCTACTAATGTTGTGGGTTTACCCTCCCAACACCGGTGTGCTGAACTAGTAACGAATTGGTATGTTTTGTGTACGTGACAAACCTTACTAATTGGCTGTGTCGAGTGGTGGTGGGTTTAACGACACGTTTATATTTACAAGATCTAACCACAAAAAACCCTCAATTATGAATAATATTGGCCGTGAAAGCCTACGTCTAAAACTATCTACAGCTCCTGTCGTTCATTGCTTGGGAATCAAGGAACCTAAGACTTCATGTGATGATGATGATGATGATATTTAAAATGCAAGACAAATAATTTCAACTTGTGACTCTGCACCAGCACCGCAAGGAATTTGCTCGGCACTCTCGTAGAGAAAGGACGACTCGGAGACACGAGGAGGAACCGCAGACGACGAGCGGCGAGGCAGCAGCAGCAGCAGTCACAGTGCGAGGCGGCCCCACTATTTCCCAAGCTCTGCGGTCCTTTATTAATTCAAGTGTTATCGGCCAATTAACAAGTGCTTACACTTGGGAGGAATACCCGGAGAATACCCACCCGGGAGACGAGACAGACCGACCAAAGATCATCACACTTTCAGCAAGTTCAGTTTCAAATCTCAAACGAAATTAAAACGAATCAGTTTTAGTATAATAAGTCGGAAAGTTGCATTCATTCCACGTCTCCCAGGCACACATTCCTCACTGATGGGCAGATCGGTTTCCCGTGTGATCGTCCAGATACCCCCTCCACCCTAAAGTGGCACGCTCCATGCGGCTGGGCACAGAACACCATGGGCCGTACCGTTTAGCAGGCGACGGGGGTGTACAGAGTGGTGCGCTCTCCCTCATAGCAGGGGTTTACCCTGGGTAACGCAGTGGCCCGGTAACGGACAGCTATGAGGCGTTGCGTAAACATCGTGAGGAATGCACTGCAGTCATGGCACCATTCAGGCTTGGGCAGGACACGGCGCCGGGTGGGACGATGTTGCCCACCGTCAAGGCTGATGGACGGAATGGCAGCGAAGGAACGCGACGCGTCCGGGAGGAGACGGAGCGATGACGGGATCGGCTCAGTGTGCTCGAAGTGTACGGTGGATCGGTGACATCACGGGACCGTGAAAGATGATGGTGGGCGGCTTGGGAAGGCCTTCAACCAGCAGTGGATTGACCTAGGCCTGAGTCTGCCCTCCCTCCGTGCTGTGAATTTCCAGATGCTCGCCCGGAATCTGGAAGCCGTCACACGGAGAGGGGCAGACTCGGGCCTAGTCCGGCATTCTACTGCCCAGTGCCACTTCCTCCGTCTCCAGTTCTGTGTGGGGCGGCTGCAGTGTTTAGCTCCAGCTGAAGTGATCGGGACTGAGCCCGGTGTGGCCGTGCCTCAGTGTGGCAGAGCCTCAGTGTGGCCGAGCCTCAGTGTGGCAGAGCCTCAGTGTGGCTGGCGCTCTGTGTGGCCGAGCCTCTGTGTGGCCGAGCCTCAGTGTGGCTGGCGCTCGGTGTGGCAGCGCCTCAGTGTGGCTGCAGCTCCGGTGCATCCGGCCTTCGGTGTGGCCAGTGCCCTGTGCGATCAAACCCTGAAATGGGGCCATAAACGTCAGTGTGGCTGTGCGTACACGACAGGCGTGTGTCACGCGCGCGTTACGCGCGCATCCCGCGTGCCCTCACCGTCTGGTGGCCGCTGTCGCAGTAGCGCAGGCCGAAGTAGTCGCTCTCCACGAGGTCGAGGTGAGCAAACACGTGGCCCAGCAGCGCGGAGCCGCGACTTGACCGCTGCCCGAGAGAGAGAGAGAGGGGGAGAGCACGAGTGAGCTTAGCGCCACCACTCGCTCGCTCACCCTGCCTCCACCACCATTGTCATCATCCTCGTCGTCATTCCATCATTCACGCAGTGCCTCCCAGGCCGTGCGTTGTCGCGAGGCGCCCTGCGGCAGGCAGGGGCACCCCCGGTGGCAGCTGCCCCTGTGTGGCAAAAGGTGAGTGCAGCACCGGTCTGGCAGTAGTAGGGGGCGGCTCGCACGCAACGGAATCGCGGGCCACATCCGGACCATGGGCTGTAGGATTCTCCTGCCCTAATCTATAACGCACTACTGGCACAAGGTAAAGCGAAGTGGAGCATATAATAATATTATTATTATGATTATAATTTAAGCAGGAAAGCCAAACGGTGTCATGTCCTGCTACATTGTGTTTTTAACTTCAAGTTTTTCAGCCAATTAATGATGAGTGCGTTTATATGGAAGTGGGAGGAAACCGGAGCACCCGGAGAAAGCGCACACACGCGAGGGGGCAACGCTCTATCCCTGTATAGATGGAACCAGATGGCGATTAGTCTACTTTCTGTACTGCCTTCTCCTGGCGAGCCAGGGCATGGCGCCTGCTTGACTCCCACGGGAAGGGAGTTTCTCAAACGTCTCTGTGTGATCCACCAATCCCCACTGCTGCCGCCACGGTGCCAGATTACTGCAGCACAGCAGCGCAGCAGCGGCGCAGCAGCCGCCATCGCCACCCAGCTGACGAGGGGCGGACGGTGAGGATCGTGGAGCGGTACCATGATGGTGGTGGTGGTGATGAGGGAGATCTGAATGAAGGCGGGGTGAGGGAGGGGGGGTGATGATAATGATGATGAGGGAGATCTGGATGGGGGCGGAGGGGTGAGGGAGGGGGGGGGTGATGGAAGGGGGGTGAGGAGGGGGGGGATAAGAAGGAGGTGATGGAGGGGGGTGATGGAGGGGGGTGAGGAGGGGGGGTGAGGAGGGGGGGTGATGGAGGGGGGTGAGGTGGGGGGGTGATGGAGGAGGGTTATGAGGGGGGGGGGTGAGGAGGGGGTTAAGAGGTGGAGGGGTGAGGGAGGGGGGGTGAGGGAGGGGGGGTGAGGGAGGGGGGGTGAGGAGGGGGGGATGAGGAGGGGGGTGATGGAGGGAGGGGGGTGAGGAGGGGGTTAAGAGGTGGAGGGGTGAGGGAGGGGGGGGGGTGAGGAGGGGGGGTGAGGAGGGGGGGTGAGGTAGGGGGGTGATGGAGGGGGGGTGAGGAGGGGGGGTGAGGTAGGGGGGTGATGGAGGAGGGAGGAGGGTGATGGAGGGGGGGGGGAGTGAGGAGGGGGGGATGAGGAGGGGGGTGATGGAGGGGGGGCCCGCGGGGCTGCGGTGAGGGGCCCCGTGTTTGACTTGGCTACGCATTCCTGCACGGCTACTCCACCACGCAGCAAGCCCGGGCGGAGAGAGAGGAGAGAGAGAGGAGAGAGCAACACATGAGAAGGGGAGAGAGAGGGAGGAGAGACAGGGAGAGTGCTTCGGCCAAAAACCAACAAGGCAAGGACGACTACACACACGCACGCACGCGTGTAGCCGGGAAACGGCAGGGAGGAGGGGGGTTGGGTGCCTTGAGTCCTCAGCCATTCCATCAGTGAACCAGTACGTCAGTGAACCAGTCAGCCAGTCCATCAGCCAGCCAGTCGCTCAGTCGGTAAGTCCGTCAGTCTTTCAGCTACGTCAGCCAGCCAGTCGAAGTTCGATAGCCGATAAGGTCAGTCGATCAATCGAGTTCGCTAGTTAGTCATTCAGTCAGCCACCGTGCCCGCCAGCTAGACAGCCAACTGGCTCGCTAGTCAGTCTCAGACTCACGGGACGACCTGACGGACTGACTAAGTGACTGATTGATTGAGTGACTGAGTGACTGACTGAGGCTGGGTGTCTGTCAGGCTGGGTGTCTGTGAGGCTGTGAGGCTGGGTGTCTGTCAGGCTGTGAGGCTGGGTGTCTGTCAGGCTGGGTGTCTGTGAGGCTGTGGTTGGGTGCAGGGTGCCCGGGTGGTGCAGTCACGGCTGGGTGGCCCTCAGGGGGAGCGGGTTGAGCAGTGTGGGCGTGGGGGCCCTCCGCACGCACAGCCGCTCTCAGCACAAAGACAAAGATCCCCCGTGTAGCCTTCAACAGACTTTTGGGGCAAGTGCTGTGAGCGAGCACCAATGAAGGACGGCACGCCACACTAGAGGGTGGGTGGCAAGCACCATGTCTCCCCAGTGCTGATGTTTACACGCCACACCAGGTACTCGTTTAAGGCCGAGTCAACCTAGAGGAGGCCCACACTGGTTCAGATAATCGTAGCTGGTGTTGGCCGGGTTTGTATCTCAGCGCGCTAACAACTGCACCACCGCTCCCCACGCTCTCCACACACCCTGCCACATGACCCGCACAGCGTGGCTGTCCATCCCGTGTTCGATTCCCGGGCTAATAACTTCGGTGGCGAGCGTTTATCTTGAACCGGTCTCGGCTTCCCCTTCTTCACCAATCCCCACTCGACCAGCATGGTGAAGTATGGTCAAACAACCCCGCAACGGTGTAGGGGGAGACCGCCTGCATGCGGCAGCGGGCTGACAAGGCCTGTACGGGACGACTGTGGACCCGGGCGGAGGGCAGCAGGTCGCAAATCGGCAGCTTGCGAGTTCACATCATGATCGTGGTGGAGGTTGACTCAGCCCATCATCATCACTCCCTCCCTCCCTCCAGGGTCGATAAAAACAAATACCACTTTGTGGCGGAGGTCAGCAGCGGATTGTCCTTGTGGACACCCTCCCCACCACCATGGGAATGTGGAATTTCCACTTTGCACCAGCGTCTCGACAGAGTCTGTGTAAGCAGGCGCCGTTAAACGCCTCGTCGTATCGTAGTAGTCGGCCAAGGCCACCAATGCTATTCATAATAAAGATTTGTTGGGTTAGATCGTGTCAATATAAATGTGTCGTTCACCCCCCTCCACCACATAATGTCCATACTTTGTGTGTGTTGATTCATTGTGAGTGACCCAACCAATGACAGGGGCGGCATCTTCTCAGATGAACACAACTTACATGACACTGCCCCCCCCCCCCCCCGCTGTGGTCCTCACGTCTGATAGGCCCCCACAGTGGTGACGTCACCCTTACACAATTCCGGCAAATCGCCTGATGAAGCTGGTTGTGGTTGTTGTAATCACCAGCCAAACGTCGCACTCGAATTGTAAACGTGGCTGTGGGTTTACTCTCCAACACGCTGAACTAGTAACCAGTTGGCGCGTTCCGTTCACGCGACGAACCTTCCTCGTTGGCTGCGCCGGGTGGCGGCGGGGTTACACACGCGACGTTCATACCGACGCCACCCAACAGCTTCCACCGTAGAGCCGGTGCCACCACCGATTGGGGATGATGATGATTATGATAATTATGATTGTGATAATTATGGTGATGATTATGATGATAATTATGATTATGATGATGGTTATGATGATTATGGTTATGATGATGGTTATGATGATGATGATGGTTATGATGGTAATTATGGTTATGATGGTAATGATGATTATGATGATGGTTATGATGATTATGGTTATGATTATGGTTATGATGATGGTTATGATGATGATGGTTATGATGATGGTTATGATGATGATGATGGTTATGATGATGATGGTTATGATGATGGTTATGATGATGATTATGGTTATGATGATGATGATTATGATGATGGTTATGATGATGATGGTTATGATGATTATGATGATGGTTATGATGATTATGATAATTATGATGATTATGATAATTATGATGATTATGATAATTATGATGATGATTATGGTTATGATGATGATGATGATAGTTATGTAAGAGCGACATGACGCGGGGGCCCGGCACGCGTGCGCCGTGCGTGCCTGGACGTGATGCACACAGTAGGCGTGGCGTGGTGTGGGCGGGCGGGCGAGTGGGGGCCCGGCTGTAAGCGACACCACAAGGTGCCGGGGTGAGGGGTGGGGGTTGGTGGAGGGTGGGGGGTGGAGGGTGGTGGGTGGGGGCCGTTGCTGCGGGCAGAGCGCCGAACCGGTAACCCGAGCCAGGCCCCCCCCCTTCACCCGCGGGGCACAACGCCTCATTAGCGCCCATTACCCCGGTTACCCATTATCATACCCCACGCCATCCCATTCATTACCCATTTACCAGCGTCGTAACCCTATTATCCGGGTAACTCATTCCATTCCACGCAAAACCCTCGAGTCAGCCAGCGCATTGCCTGGTCTCAACGCCGCCCAGGTAACACCGGGTCAAGGTTAAGTCAAGTTGATTTTGTTAATCACGGTGAGAACTCGGACGAGACGCTGATATTCTGATTTGCAAGAGTAATCTGGGTAAATGCTTGAGCGAGTGGATGGGTACGTGAATGTGTGAGTGGGTGAATAGGTGAATTATTGAGTGGGTGGGTGGATTGGTTGGCGAGTGAATGAGTGGGTGAGTGATTGGGTGAGTGATTGGGTGAATGACTGAATGGGTAAATGTGAGTGGATGAATGATTGAGTGGGTGGGTTAGTGAGTGGGTGAGTGGGTGGGTGGGTGAGTGAGTTTCATTTTAAAGTTTATTTTGTTTAACCAGGGTGAGAACTCAATATACCACATTTATGAGTCTCATTTGCAAGAGCAACCTGGGTGAATGATTGAGTGGGTGGGTAAGTGAGTGAATGAGTGGGTGAGTGAGTGAATGATTGAGCGAGTGGGAGAGCGAGTGGGTGAACGAGTGGGTGAGTGGATGGGTGGGTGAGTGGCTGAACAAGTGGGTGGGTGGCTGAGTAGGTGGGTGGATGACTGAGTGAATGAGCGGGTGATTAAGTGGGTGAGCGCGTGGATGAGTGAGTGAGAGAGAGAGTCAGGATTGCTTGTATCAATGCTGGCGAACTGCCCGATGTTCCAGGCGAGGATCGGCTTCGACACGCAGCGTCTCATCATCATGAGCAGCAGCGGCCAGGCTTGCTTGCA